AGATTCAACCAAGGTTTGGTTGCAGCATCCTCCGGCTTGGGCGGGATCTTGGCTACTTTAGGGAGTGGGGCATAGTTCTTCAACGAGTTTCGATTCGGTCTTTTCACATTCGCAAACTTTCTGAAGGCATTATGTTTTTCTTCATCATTATTCATATCAAACTCATGGGCTGAAGAGGAACAGGCTGTATCACGGTCCTGCTCTTGGTTGTCAGCAATAGTGGGGTCATCTACATAGGCCTCCTCATTAGCCTCCAACAGGTCATGCACAGCAAAACGGTTGCTGCCTTTAAACCGCCTGCCGCCTGTAGCCTTTTTGCTGCCTGCTGTGTAAATGAGGTCATCATATGCCTCGAGGCTGACTACATCCCGCATGAGGGAAAGCCAGTCCGTGTATCCAATGAAATCTTTGCCTAGGCGATGTAAGTAGTGGAAATCGTACCTTTCACAACATCCAAGCATGACTGTGCACTCATTTCCAACCCAGAGGTAGCAAAAAGTTTGATAACATACAATTGCAGGTTGTACATGGTGCCCGACCACTTGTTGTGCTTGAGATCATCCAATATTTTCCTGGCTCTCGCAGCAGCATGTGGGTCCGTATATTGCTTAATTAATATCTCTTCAAGTGTTTCCACAGGTGTGGCTTTGAGCCACTGCGCCAGATCGAACTTTGTGTACCCGGCTTGCATAGCCTGGACTTCTAAGAAGCCTCGTACAACAGGTTTGACGTTGGTTCCCATGATGAAGGACTGGCTCATCAATTGAGTACCCATCACATCGAAGTAAGCTCTCATGGAGCCGATCCAAGACTCTACGTCTTCCTTGCCGTCATACTTAGACGGTATATCTATCGCATTTCTGTCCTCATAGGGACTGCTATAACCGGCACCAGCAAATGCTGTGTCTAAACTCGAGGCTGCAGCAATTGCAAAAGTCCCTGCGCTGCCACTTGTTGCAGCGGCAGCGAGGTCTGCACCTACTGCAGGTCCTGATTGAACCCCACTCGAAGAAGGAGAAGTGAAGACATAGATAGGAGCAAGGACAGATTGGTTAACAGCATTCGAGGCAGGAGGTAGAGGAAGAGAATTAGGAATCTGGGCCTGATGCAGGTTTGCCATCTGCCGCATCTGATCACTACGCTCCTGAGCCATATCCACAATCTGCGTCTGCAGTTTACTCACCTGGTCAAACAGTTTAGAGATCTGACCAGGAAGTTCACTGAGCATGTGACAATCGATGAGAGCGCGCACATACATGACCAGATCTTTCTTGACCTCGGTGTCAGGCAAGGAGGGGACTGTTTTGAAGACAGCCTCATGGTCGGCAACAACGGTTTTCCGCTTTTCCTCCTCTTCCTTCTCTTCCTTTGCCACTGCCTTGTCGTAGAGAACTTGGCACAATGGTTTGTCCTTTTCGTCGGCCGCTTCCAACTGGGCCTTTAAGGCTACAGAGGCCTTTACCGTGGCCATGTTAGAACTACCGGGGTTCTCAGGCTTTACGAAAAAAAAGACTCAGCAAGTCCCTCTAGATGAGTGCTCTCCCTCTCCCTTCTCTCTTCTTTTTATCCACGAGTCCCTACGGGCATCGAAACATGAACTCGGACAAAGAAACAAACTGACACGTACTCCTAGTCGGGGCAGCATGACATTTGGACTAGAGAGCAATCAAAAATGTAAAATAAAATAAATAATTCAGACGAGAGTTCTGATCCAGCGCCTCAGTCTGATCAGACCTAATACGAGATCCCCTCAGTACAATATGATCAGTCCCATGAACGTACAGCAAATTCAGACAACGAGTAACGACAAGCGTCAATGGAGAATTGAGTGGCGTATAAGGCGCGAGACAAGCCACGGACTGTGCAATAGAAGTATACAAAACATCTCCGGCGGGATCCCCTCAGCAGCGAGTGCTCTAACCAAAGAATAAACTTTGTGTCCCAGACAGAAAGAGAATGATCTGACGTTAAACAGATTTGGGCCTAAGGGGCCTTTTTTGCCTGGGCCCGCTCCCATTGGGTACCCAAAAGGTTCCAAGTAGGCCTTGACCAAGTCCCAAACAATAAGAGTCCCACATGGACCTACTTTTTGCCTCTACTGAACTCGAAAACGAATTTCAACTTCAGGGATAACCTACAGTTTACATCCGTTCAGAGACAAAAAGACAATTCACTGTAGAAAGATATGCCGTGCAAAGCAAGATACCTCATCTCTTCATCCATCAGGTGAGAAAACAGTTTCACATACTCGTACGCACAATGAAGACCATAGAGGAGTAGGAAGAGAAACCCAGGCCACAACAGGACAATCAATACCATGCACACACATACATGGGCATCCCATAGGTGCACGGCACTTACCTGAGTGGCCTGAACTTCGAGATGAATAGAACTCACCCCAATCTCATATGGTCCTCTCACCCCAATCTCATATGGTCCTCCCGACCCTTTTAACGCTACCCCTACGCTAGTGTCCTATCTACTAGGAGGGTCTGACTCCAACACCCAAGTGCAACGTCGAATCCCCCGCCGATACTGAAGAACAAAGTAAACATCTTGCGGTCCGTCGATGCAGAATGGCTGCTTTCCCTCAAGCTCGCCTACTTGAGGGAAGCCCTAAAGTCGCCAAGTGTCTTCCCTTCAATCAGCTTCCAGGTGCGATTGCCTCTCACTGTCGCCTCTCCCTAATTGTCAAAACAAAGTCTTCTCGAAGTCTCTCGCCACTCAAAACTTACTCTCACACAACCTCGTCAGGTCCAGTGTCGACCCAACACAACCTAACCAGGTGGGGGCAGCTTCCCTTTACGACACTGCACCTCTTACCTCAGCTTCCAGCCCTAACCCTAAGCAGTAGCCCTCCACTTAGGTTAGGGTTGGAGCGGCAAAGCCCACTAACTCCAGCAAGTAGAACCCGTTCCGATACCAATGTTATGATCCTGGCCAATTTCGAAGCACAAAATTCATGAGAAAGCACAATGCCATCCAATTGCAAAAGAAATAAATGAACTTGAGAGGAGAGAAAGGGAAAGAAGAAGAAGAAGAAGAAGAAGAAAGAAAGAAGAGGAAGAAGATGTACACCAATGATAATTCCCTTCTTCTCACCAACCAGTCTCCTCCTCCTTTTCTCCTCCCCTCTTATTCAAACAATAATAATAATAATAATAATAATAATAATAATAATAATAATAATAATAATGTTGAACGGATGAACCAGAATCAATGTCCGAATCCCTCTTCTACTGCACAAGGTCCACCATAGCCATGGCCACCCTTCTCCTTCCTCTTCCTCAAGGCCAAGGCTATGGCAGACTGCTAGGGCCTTGCCCTGATGTGCAAAAGACAACTCAAAGCAGCTATGGCTGCTCTAGCTCAGGCCGCCATGCCTGAACCTGCCTCGAAGCTTCTTGGTGTAGCTCTACCCAAACCGGGGCCTTCCAGATGCAGCGCCCATCAAGGGGATGAAGATGGTGTCCACCATAGCCAGGTAAGTACCTCTGGCGCTCCCCCTTCCTAGTCCTCGTCTTCCTCCTCCAGCCCGTGCTCCTCCACCATAGCTGAGGCGGAGAGCTGGGCACTCCTTCCTCCCCAGCAGCTCTGCTCCAGCCAGCATTCCAAGCAGTGTGTCGCCAAACTTGCACACCATAGAATGAGGAGCAGCTCTTTGCTCCTCCAGGAGATATAGCGGCCTGCTTCCCTCTTGGGCCGTGACTTCCAGGTGACTTCCAGGCCGCACGGCCTCCAAGTAACCAGAGGGAAACATCATTGCAGACTCTGATATTGCCCGTACAGGCCCTAGACTCAGACTACTTGGACTGGTACCCACCTAGACCTAGCCTACAACTACTGGGCCTCTAAAAATGCCAACTTTGTCTTCTTCTGCTCGGCATCAAGTACCCGGCACATCTACTTCTACGTTGTGTGGTACCGGACTACCTGCTACTTGAGTGTTTTTCCACTGCTCTAAGTCTTGCGGGCCTCTTTCCCCGCCACTTGAGTGTTTTCCCTGATGCAACCCTCAATGTCACGGCCACAGGTAAGTACCGGGCCTTTGGGCGTCCCGCACGGACGAGTACCCTTGCAGGTCACACACACACACACATAAACCGACAAGCACTCAGACAGGCACGCAGACCACTAAGCACGCACACACACAGACTTAGATACTCAGCAACAAGCGGGAAACTCAGCAAGGCATACATTCCATTGGCAAAACTCAGAAATCAGCTGTGTGCCTGAGTCCGCGTTTGGCAGGTCCTTACACACCTGCTTCCAGTGGAGTTCGAACTCAGGTCTGCATGTCAACCAGTTCCGGGGTGTACCACCTGAGCTAGTAGGCCAGTTGGTAGAGTCATAGTACATTAAACATGATCTGCACTCAGACTTGTTTTTGGGAGCCTAACTGTCCATACACCACAATGCTCTCGATGTCTTCTTTGCGGATTACCCCCTACATTGAGGTTATCCTTTGCGGTTCCGAGTGACAGTTAATTCATAGACCATCACTAGTTTCGGATCGAACCTCCCGAGCCTGATGTGGACACCAAGTTCGGTACTGGCTTTTTGAAGTCCGCCAGGGAAAAGCCCAGGCCTAATTTAAAGGGGCACTACAGCGGGGGGGGAAATGTGTGCCCACACAGGTGGGGGTAGTTTGAGGGCATACTCACACTAGCAACTTTTTCTACTGAGCTCTTTGGACGCGATTGCAGTCAGATTCATCAAGGTTTGGTCGCGACTGGAGTCAAAAAAAGTGCTAGTGTGAGTATGCCACATTTTGTGACTTCCCTTGTTCTCACAGGAAGGGCACTTCCATGTAGACCGACACAAATCTGCCCCGCCCACACCTTCCGGGGGGGTCCTCATTGGGCCAAACTTTGCATCTGTATGAACATCTCTGCGAATGAAATCGCTCAATATCCATAGGTGTTCACACCGGGAGAGAAATGTTAATAGGAAATAGACACAATTTATTGAAGACTGCATGTAAAGAAAGGTATACACACCTGTCGTTGGTGGCCGATCCTCCCATGGACTCCCTCGTTTTCTGGGTGGTTGGCAAGGACCTGTGGGACACCAGATATAGATATAGATATTCTGTTAGATCAGGCGCAACTGGATGAAAAAGAAACACAACACAATAAGCTTTCTCACTATTTCTCATCAGCTTTTGCTTCTGATATTTCTCAACCTTCCAGGCATCCAATCTGTGCCCTGAGGGCAAACTCACACTCGCACTTTTTCTTCTTAGCTCTGGACGTAATCGTGGTCGGATGCACCCATGCCGAGCCATAATCGAGTCAGATTCGTCCAGACAACTCCTCGTGTGAGCACGCCCTTAAGACTTCCTACCTCTCTGTGGGCCATCCGAGCCAGATCTGGAAGAACTTCGCAAGTTCTCAGTTTTCGGGATCCGTTTCTTTGGGTCGGAGAATGGCAAACAGATGCGTGCAAGGCATGATCAGGAAGTAACTGAGGTGCACAGAGTGCCAAATCTTGCCTGTCTGAACTCCAAATCCTCTTCGTATTCAAGCGAGTTTCCTTCTCTTACGGGGGGCTAGGGGACTCCCATCACGAAGCAACACACAATACACACTGGCACACAAAGCCATGAGTAGATGAGCTCATTAGTGTGCCAAAATTTGCCCGTCTGTACTGCAAATTCTCTTCATATTTAACCACTTTTCCTTCTCTTGGGGGGGGGGGCTACGAGACTCATCAGGAAACAAACACACAGTATATGCTGCCATGTAGAGCTACTAGCCTCTTCAAAGTGGTGCGACTCATGCATGGATTCTCTGATCTCAGTAGGGATTAGATTATACAAGTAAGATTAGATTAGATAAGATAAGAAGAAAGAAAGATAGATAAGATTAGATAGATAGATAGATAGATAAGATAGATATATTCATTCGTTAGATAGATCAGATTAGATTAGATAAGAGTAAGATTAGATTAAATTCGATAAGATAAGATAAGTAGAAAGAAATATAGATTTAGATATTATAAGATTAGATTGATAGATAGATAGATAGATAAACAGATAGAATAGATAAGAGAGATTAGTTGGGTAGATTAGATTAGATTAGGTAAGATTAAGATTAGATTAGATCAGATAAGATAAGACAAGACAAGACAAGATAAGATAAGACAAGAAAGAAAGAAGAAAGATAGATAGATATACATAAGATAGATAGATAGATAGATAGATTAGATTTGATTAGCTTGATCTATAGATGGATAGATAGATAGATAGATTAGATTAGATTAGCTTGATCGATTAGATTAGCTTACATTAGATTAGATTAGATAAAATCAGATGAGATAGATTAGTTAGATAGATTAGATAGATTAGATGAGATGCGATTAGGTGAGATGAGATCAGATTAGATTAGATTAGATTAGATAGATAGGTAGAAAGAAAGAAGGAAAATGACACCACGCTTCTTATAGATCAATGAAGACAACGGGCCTACTCGCATCACATGACTTCTATCATTCAATAGATTAGATTTTGGCAGTGATGTGAATACGCAGTACATAAGTACAACACAGTTTTCAGTACCTACTGCTTTTGCAATTATTACTCCAACTGCCGCGTGTATGTTCTCGGCTCTGGAACTGAACTCGCGTACGTGTGAGTCGGATGTCCCGATGAATTTCCCAGGTTGGCTATTGTCCCCCGGATATGAATGTTTTATGTCAAATTTATGATTTTTTTTATCTCGTACGATTTGGGATTACTGCTACGCATGGTTGGCTGTGTCATCACCAAAAAAAAAACAAAAAAAAACTACTGCTACTTCAAAATTTTCCAGTTTGATAAAGCTGGTGACGGTCCTTAGGAAAACACACAGTCCAATTCCAGCTCCCTCATTTAAAAGCAGTCCATGCCGAAATTCGAATGACAATTTCAATTTCAATTTCAATTTCAATTTCGATTTCGATTTCAATTTCAATTTTAATTTCAATTTTAATTTCAATTTTAATTTCAATTTTAATTTCAATTTCCAATGATAGTTTAATTGATGAACGTGTCCAAACCTCTATCGGCATTTTGGCTAAGATCAACTGTAGCATCTGATCTGAGCAGTTCAATCATCTGAACCGTGGTCCATCGTGCCACATCAAAAAAAAAAAAAAAAAAAAAAGGTGAATTGTCGTCGTAGTGTCTGTTCACCTGCTGGCTGGACGATAGAGACAAAAAGATGAGACACAATACAACTGTTGATTTGCAGGTCAATATTTCCAAAATTGGAAAGCAGTAACGTAATAATTGGATGACTGGCACCCTTCCTGTATTTACCACTGATGAACGTATACAACCCCTGTTTCTGTCCAAATACAGTCATGATGAGGGTGCGTTGTGTTCGGGTCAAGAAGGGTTAATACTGCAATATGAATTCTGCAATCGCAATACAATTCCTATTGACTGCTGCAAAAAAAAAAAAAAAAAAAAAAAAAGTGATGATGAGGGTGAGTTGTGTGTCCAAATACCGTCATGTCTCACATTGCAAAGGGAAACGAACTTCGCAGAGACGGCTTTGCTCGGAGGAGAGGCAGCAGCGGATCCTGCGTGCTCGCGCGCACCAGCGTGTGGGCGAAGGGTTGGGGGGGACCGTGGGGGGGAAGAACCCGCGCAGGAAACGAGGAGGGCTTGTGCGCGTGTGTGCTCTTCAAAAAAGGTGAGCCCAGGAGGCGTAGGCCTCTCTTCAGGGCACTCCTTGGGCCTCGCACCACTCCTCACCACATGCGCCAAAACCAAAAAAATGGTGTACCTGTCCATGTTCCACAGAAAGATTCTTCTCATTTCGCACATTTTGTGAGTAGCGGAGCGAGGCCCCTTGTCGTCATAAATGAGTGAAGCAGTGAGGAGGCGATTCGGCCTAAGGACGGTAGACAGCACTGCAAGCTTGCGCCGTTAAGACAATCATACTCACGCTAGGACTTCTTTGACTAAATGTGACTGTCATCACGACCAGATTCAGGCGGGAAATTGCTATATATAGTCTGTGCATGCATGCGATACGTGGCCATCGGGATGTCAAGCGGCAAAATTTTGCCAAGCGCTTGTCCTGTGCCCGTGTCTCACTATCAATTCACCTACAGGAGAAGAAACCGGGGAAGCAATGCGAGTGGAACGCGTCGCCACGTCTTCATGTGATCGGCATGTAATGAGAAGGGAAGGGGGAGAGGATGACCCACCAGCATTGCAACGGTGAGGGAGGGAGAAGACGAGGGCAAGACTTGATGCGAAGTAGATTGATTGCAATTGGATAGGCTGAAGGAGAAGAGGCGGGGTAAGGAGGAGAAAGGACGAGAAAAGGAAGCACAGGAGGACGAGAAGAAGAAGATGCCATAGCCATCTAATTATGATTACAGGAGGGAGAAAAAAGAGGGCAAGAAACATGGCTGCGTCCCTGAGACTTGGCAAGCTACTGGTCATCTCAAACTGGTTCGGCGAAATAGGGAAAGCGAAAAGACGTGAGATCATCGGATCATCGACATGCCCTAACGAATGACAAAGTGAGAAGAAGTGGGGGGGG